CCTTCCACTCACTTGGAGTGGGCCTGACTGACTGGGGCCCCTACCTTACAGATTCTGTTGACAGGTCCAGAGGTGTCAGTCCACTTTCTCCAGATGCCGGCTGGGTCCTGGGCTGAGGTCCGGGAGTGCCTGGAGTTCTCCCTGGTGCAATTCTGCTAAAATCAGCAGCACATGCCTTCCGGAGGCCTGTCCTGTGCCCCTGGACCCCAAACCCCGTTCACTCACTGGAGGCAAGAGCCAAATGAGGTTAGTTTCTAGGTCAGGGAACCAAATGTTGCAGAAGAGCAAAGAAATACCAAGCACGCTTCCTAGAGAAAGGGAGGGACCCCGTTTATTAACAATAGTCGACTCCGGGAATAATTTCCAAATCAGAGTAACACCCAGAAGGTTTCACTTTTTATAACCTTCTGAAGTCTTTGTCTTGCAGATATGGTTCTGCCCCCTTTTGTGGGCTTACAGGAAAGCCCCAAGGTATTGGGGGTCCCCAGGCCATATCCAAGGATCTGTCCTGGGGCCAGTGATAATGACCTACCCCCCATCTTCCTAGGGCTGTGCATTGTTCACAGTTTTTATGGCCGGTGACTCCTTGCAAGACCAGTTTCCTCCTCAACAGGACCCCGGCACCCCCACTGCCAGCATCCAGGGGCCCCTCATCTGGGGCTGGAGGGAGGCTGCAGGGCAGGGAGACTCCTGGGACCCTCAGCCACTGGGGACCCTCCTCCTCCTGCTCCTCCTCCTCCTCCTCCTGCTCCTCCTCCTCCTGCTTCTCCTCCTGCTCCTCCTCCTCCTCCTGCTCCTCCTCCCCTGCTTCTCCTCCTGCTTCTCCTTCCTCCTCCTGCTTCTCCTCCTCCTTCTGCTTCTCCTCTCTCCTCCTGCTCCTCCTGCTCCTCCTCTTGCTGCTTCTCCTTCTGCTCCTCTCCCTCCGCCTCTCCCCCTCCGCCTGCCCTTTCTTTCTCCAACTCTCCGGAGACCTGCTGACAGATAGCTCATTTGCACTCCTCTCTGAGCGAATACATCCAGGCAGTGACTTTGGAACTCTGCCCCCTCCTTCCCTCCCCTCCTCTCCTCTTGAGCATCTCTCTCCGGAGACTCGGGGAGGGCTAGGTGTGCGGGCAGCCGCAGCCCTCGCCTTCAGCGTCATCGCTGTCGGTGTGAGCCAGTGCGGATCAAGGCACAGCCTCGCCCGGAGCCCCCAGCCTCCCTCCCGCACGTGCTGCCGGGGCGGAGGGAGCGGAG